TCARCAGCCCTTTCTGCAGTCCAACCRTTCCTCSTCAATCTCCCAACACCCTTCCTTAGCCCGGTCGYGATTGCTCAACAGCCTGAATCAGTCAACAGCAGCAAACCGTGATGTGTAGCAACTAATAACAACAACTCATACATAGTCTCTCGCCCAYAACRGTTGTGCCCAGCGGCAAYGCTRTGGCACACAGCRATGKCCTAGACATAATCTATCAGTAGCAGYAGCTGTTCGTGTGCCATCCRCAAYAATAGTTTGTGCACATCTCGCGATACCGGCAGTATACAGTGGCCTAGATCAGCGGCAACARCAACGGAACACAACAGCCTACCCCTAACAGYCCRCCATGGTCAGTAAGCAAGCCCTCCTTCGCTGTTCCAGCCCTCGGCCCATAGTTTCAGAGCCTCCTGTCAGCAGTCCATTACGGTAGTTCCACAGTSTTCTKTCWGCAGCCCACCTTYAGCTCACCYCTTCACMTCGTTACAGCCCACTACTAGTTCTCACTTAGCAGGCTGCACGGCCTACCGGCCCTGACCTCAGGTACAAGCCGTAACTTTAGAAGGCTCGGTTACAAATACTTCATAGCCGAGCAACAGCCACTGCAGGGGATAACTGGGCAAGCAGACCCGCAGGTTGGTGGCCTGTGGAACAGAGCACAAGGCACCAACGATAAGGTAGTCAACCTTCTGAGTCAAGAAGTCACCCTAACAAACACCCGACATCAGTTACAGGCAACACAGACATCCAAACTGGATCCAAACTGGATGGTCCCCACCTTGATGCGCCTCCCCCGCTCTGACAGTTAGGTAAGTACCTCGATCCCTCAGCTGGCCTCCCGCTGCTTGCGTTAGTGGGGTCTACCAAAATCGAACGAATCTGCCCGCAACGGCGGCTAGATTCTTTCCTCACCTGGCACATCCTTCAGCCTAGGTTCACTCMCCCCCCCCCTTTTTTTTTCTTTTTTTTTTTACTTCAAATCTACTACCTCTCTATCAAAACTAACCTCATAGATGGCTTCAGCTCACTTCAAAACCCCTACTCTGACCTCTATTCCAGCTTGATTTCATCCAGAATTCGAGCACCATCTCGATTTTCCTTCCTTCTTCACCTCGCCTCTTCTCCATAGCCCACGCACTAACTTTCTTATTAACCTCCTAACCTACTAACCTATCACCCGAACTAACCTTACCAAACGATTCACCACGACCAAAAATACCGGACATGAGTCTTTGCTCGCCCGTTTCCGTTGAGTAACGGGCTCATAATCACTTTCTCCCCTCGCCATAGCCCGCTGCTGCTTTGCTGAGCCCTGCTTATCCTGTATGCACCCCGTGCAGCATGCCGTCTAGGTTCATCTGTCTTTCTCCCCCTCTACTTCGTCATCCGTAAACGCCCGAGCCGAGCGCTCGCTCCCTACTGCGCTCGCTGCTGGTCACGCCCGCTACCCTTCAGCGTCCGTCCCTCCCTCACTGTGCTCCGCACGTCATCTCCGTCACTTCGCTCATYGCCCCGAATGCACCYGTCATCCCTCCCCTCATGATCTCTTCTTCCCGCATGTACCCGGCGCCACCCTCGTCCGGGTTCACCCGCTGCTGTACCCTGGGCTATCTGTCTGTCGGCCCGCTGCGCTGTCCCCCGTTGCTGTTGGCGCTGCCCAGTCGGACCCACGCCACCCGTCGGTTCACCGCCCGTAACGCCACTGCCGTTGCCTCTGCTTCGCTCGCTGCAGCACTACCTGGCCAGCCCGAGGGAGAACTTCGGGAGGATCAGGCTACCAGCCGGTTCAATTAGTCTTTCGCCCCCATACCCAAGTCCGACGAGCGATTGAGGAACACTTCGGAGGGATCCAACTACTAAACGGTTCGAGTAGTCTTCGCCCCTATACCCAAACTCCGACTGACAATYTGCACGTCTGTACCGCTCCCACTATAGTGTTCGGGCCTACTCCGCCCTGGCATAGTTTTCCTCTAACGGTTCCCAAGGGGCATACTCACACTCCAACCTCTTCTCAGCGGATGCTACGTGGGGAACTGCACCCCACTGTAAGCCCCGCCCGACCCCTYTTCCTTGGCAGAGCCCGACACCACTTCGGTCCTCCAGTAGCCAGATCCCACCGGAACAGCCGGTCTCCATGCGGCGTACTGCAAGCCCCCTTGCGCRGGCCTTGGGGARCCGGGCCCGGTGCAATTCTCGGGGTAGTAGCAAGAACCGGCGTGTTCCCTCATCGGAGACTTGGACACGAGTGTCGCTACTATGGGGTAGCCTCGGCGTGGGCACAAAAACAGCTTATAGTCACCCTTCAGTTCGTCTCATGAACTCAACACACCCCCATGCGACCTTACCGAGCCCGAAGTGTAGGCCATATACATTTAGTATTACCGGTCCTTTTTCCTCAACCGCAATTACAACCCAGCCCTCATTGTGTCGTGGTTTTTCAACCACGGCGTAAGGAAGGACTTTTTGCCAGCACCCCAAACACGTGGACCCGTCAAACGGGGCACGCGCTCAAGGTCCCCGACTGCCGTGACGGCCACTAGATCCGGCGCCCCTTCCAAATCAAATGGCCCGCCGGGGTATATAAAAGAAATACGATATTAGAATAAATTATTTAGAAAACGCCGCCACAGATCGAACGCCGTTGATGGCAAAAACCAAAGGGGATATCCCTGCCAGACCCTCAACCCCATCGGCTCCCTCCTCGATGCTCCACTGCCACCACGCCGACGTCTGCCGGCCTCGATCCCCAAACCTCCATTGTAATAGTCCGACGCCGTAACCTACAGGGCTAAGCCCAAGCCTGAGACCAAAACACGCTGAGTGTCATATAAGACGGTGTGGCGCGGCGCTTTGGGCCAATGAAAACGGTTGCGCGGCTCTTAGTGCCCGCGCCGGCTTGCTTATACCATGCCATAATTGCGCGGCTCTTAGTGCCCGCGCCGGCTTGCTTATACCATGCCATAATTGCCCCATGCCGCAGTCATGCTTAGCGCGGTATACTTAAACTTTAAACCAAACAATTTTCCTTTACTTGCAAAAACCAGGGCGGATACCGTTGTAAGGGTATTCGCACCGACAGCCTTACCGGACCATATTAAGCGACGTCCTCGTCGCTTCGCCAAATCTGAAAGCTATAAATTCATTCACACTCCAAATGCTGACGAAAGAAGTTAGTCAATCCGATTAGCCGACAAACACAGGGTAGAGGCCTCCATCAAACCATGCCTCCACAACTATATGCTGCCAGGTTTCTAACCTGAGTCTCACACCGTCCAGAAATTAGGACACTGGCAGCATAAGTTCCAAAGACCTTCCCAATTGTCCTCTCCCCGGTCCTAGACAACCTTCGGCTTCTCGTTGGGTGTCCCTAGTCCTGGCAAAAACTAGGGACGCGGGCCTTAACCGAGACCTTTGAAGGCACTCTCGCATTCCTTCTCAAAAATCTCTCGCGATCAAATATATATGTAAACTTAATATCCACTCCGCTCTTTCTGCAGTCTAGTACAGAAAGGTCCGGTCTCCATCTTGGCCCACTATAGCCTAGTTGATCGGACCAGGACTACGGCCCACCGCATTGTTATTTAATGGCAGTACCCTCGTTGGTTACGCAACGATAGGGTTTCTCCTGATAGGCACTCAATCAGGACCTCCCAAAATCTCAACCTTCACTATCCCACGGAGTAATTCCCCTGGGCGGGTAGCTCCCCTTAAACTCTTACCCTGTGGTCCCGCAACCAGGTTGCGCCGGTTAGCAGTCATCCAATGGGGTTACGCCCTAGAGGAACTAACTTCTTTTCCGTTAGCTTGGCCTTTCTTCAATATGTCTCAGAATTAACACCAGTGGTTAAACGGGTGCGTCGCAAAACAAAATCACAGCACCACTGCGCGATACGCAGGGGTCCGAAGACATTTACCAGCCCTCCTTCAATAGGCATGGCCTCCTTCGCACGCTTACAAGCAAAATCACCGCTAAATCCACCAGGCCGTGACCCCTGACTTGATCAGAGTCAGCAGCCACCCACCCTGAGACATCTCTCGCCCTGTACTCATTACGACTTTCTCAAACATTTCAAACAAAAAGTGGTCCCTTTTCGTCAGACTTTATCACCCACCAAACAACTCATCATGCCATAAATCAATTTACTCACTTCTGAGGATGAGTCTTCCAACAAAAAACCACTGCCCTTTTCTAACAATCCAAAAGGGACTCTCTTCATAAACAAAACACCCCCTCTTCTAAAAAATCGCGAGGGGACTCGCGATAAAACAATACATTCCCTCTTCCAGAAATCACGCGGGTCTCATCATAAATCAAACACCCCCTCTCTCAAAGTCACGAGGGGTTTCGTTACATCACAAAACATCACAAAACATCCCCTCTTTTCCAAAATCTAAGGGGGTTCCATCATAAAACAGAACATCAATGAGAGACCATCTTATGGGTCCTCATGACAACTTAGATAACTTTCACAGACGGACTGCGCTTCCTCCCCTTATACTCTGCCTTATCAATTGTCGTGGGCAGGTCGCACAAGTATACCGAGGAGTAGACAGTCTTACTTACAATCATATTCACAATACCCAAGATACATAAAAGGTTTTTCACACATTGTCCACACAAACTCATCATACATCAGAGTACAACCACACATGTGAGAGAGACAAGTGATCGTTACATATAAGAATGGTCCCTGAAGGAAACCTCATCATAATATACACTCAGGGAGTACAATGTCTCACATAGAAAGTGTCTCCAAATCATAGCTTGCTCAACTCAAGCCACACCAAACCCACACTGACAACTACCCTTAGAATACATGTCAGATCTGTCTCTCAAAGGCCAGGGCATAGGCCTACCTAAATATGTACATGCCTCATCTAAACCACCCTGACCCTCAAAACCCCAACTCAGTAGAAACACTAGAGTTCAGATCTAGATTAACAGCAATCATCAAAATGTCTTCTAAGTCAAAAAAGGTATCACACAAAACCTAAGTTGATACCTCACAAAATGCTCGCTCACTTATATAGACAAAACCGAACCCTACCTCCTCAACTCCTCCTGGTTTTGCCTATATAATTGAGCCCTAAGTTCATCTGCAGACTTCTCTACTATCCTACCCTGTCTATCATACATTTTACCCCCTACCTCTGAGATCTTCCCTGCTATCTTATCCTCAAGAAACTCGAGACAGTCCAAAGCATGATGCGCGCTCCTTTTGCAGTAGAAACATAGTTGATCAACCTTCCTCTTGAACTTCCTCTTCCTGGGCTGAGGAGGTGGTGATGAAGGAGATCCTGCCAAGGTACTGATAACCCCCTRCTGCTCTGCTTGAGGAGCTGCAGTACCAACGACTTCCTGCCGCTCTGTCCCCRGAACTGGTCCACCAGACCCAGATCCAGTAGCCCAAAATCCTAGTCTGCCTCTCAAATCCTCTGTCGCTGGAACGTACTCAGGCGTGTCCAACCTCTGAGGCCTCCTCTCGAGTGCCGCCCCTGGCACTGCCATGGGCTGCTCCTCAATCTCCTCTGGTCCATACTCAGGTGTGCCTATCCTCTGGAGTCTGCCCTCGATGGCACCCTCCTCCTCAATCCCCATCTCTCTCTCAAGAGGCTCCTCTATCCTCTGCTCAGGTGAAAACAAACTCACCTCCTCCTGCATAGTATGCACCGCCTCAAGGAGCACGCCCATGGATCCCTCTGCCGAGCGCTGAGCCGGCTCACTGCTACATGGTGGCAGCCCCTCCTCTACTGCCAAAGGTACGACTGGGCCTGCCGCCGCCACCGGCAGCGTCGCGAGCTCAGTAGGGGCTCTAAACTCGAACGCCTCTCTCTCTGCCTGTCTCTGGGCTCTCGCCTCCTCTAGCTCCAGGATAACTCTCCCCATAGGTGGCTCCTGGCGAGGCTCTATCGCAGATGGCTGTCCTGGCAATCCCTGCCCTGGCTGCCTCTGCTCTCCCTGCCGGCTGCTCTCTGGTCTGTCCGCCTTTCCCTGGGTTTGCTGCCTCAGGCTCTCAATGATAGCTGCCTGGCTGACCACCAAAGCCCTAAGTTCTTGAATTTCCATCTCCATAGCCTCCAGACGTACTCCATGGCTGGCTTCCTTCATTTTCTTCCCCGCCAGATTGCCCTCCAATAACAAGTGCCGGTCAAAAGTGGTGTTGGCCAGGAACTTGATTTTACGATCTAACCTTTCTTCCGCCTTCCTGGCCACCCCAAACCCGGCTCTGACTGGCGATGGAAGCTCCTCTCCTCTCTGCTCCAAGAAGTCCCTCCATATCTCAGGGATCTCTGGGGCCCTAGCTGGTGCGCTGGGTGGCTGGCCCGGGAGTGCTCCTGCTGCCTCCGATCTCTGCCTCTCCTGCTGCTGCTCCGGGAGCTCCCCCGCAGCCTCCAACCACTGCCTCTCCTGCCATATCTCATCTATCCGCCTGGTTCGTCTCGCCCTCTTTTCTTCAGCCGTTTCTCCAGCTGACACCCTTTCCCTCGTGCGGAGGTCGACCCTCTTTGGGATCTCTGCTTCCACCTCCTTCTCGGGCTGGCATGACTCCTGGTGTGGCTCTACAGGTGTTGGCTCCTCCAGGTCTGGGTGCTCTAGGGCATGAGCTGCTAGGTGCCTACCAATCAGAATCAAAGCTTCTCTCCTTACAGCTGCTCTCTCTCTCCTCCTTCCTGCCCTCCCTTCTGGCGAAGGAGCCTTTTCTGACGAAGGTGAAGGGGTCTCCTCTCTCGGCAACCCCTCCTTTGCCTGCCGGGTGCTCCCTGGTGCACCCCCGAGTCTCAAACCCACTGCTGGCGTCTGTGGCGGCGTATCCTCTCCAACCTCTATCACTTCCTTCCTTGCACGTCTCCCCTCATCGCCCGTCCCTCTCTCTCTCTGAGTACCCCGGACCTCTTCCTGTGATACCTCCTCTCGTGGCACCTCCTTTGCCTGCTCTCCATGCCCCTCACCCTGAAGCGACGCCCTCCACCGAAAAATATCTAAATGCATCTCCAATTCCCTCAAGGGCCCCTCTGACGCTGGTGGCTCCCTCTGTGTGTGTGCTGGCGACCTCCTCAATCCACCCTCAGTAAAACGATGGAACTCCACTGGCCCCAACCCACACTCAGGGTATGCCCCTCGCTCCTCATCCTCTGGCTCCTGCTCTCTCCTGGCTAGGGCCTTCCGTCCTCCTCGAGATGGTCTCGCCTCCCTGGGCTCAGGGTCCCTCGGCCTCTGACTCCTCTGCCGCCTCTCGACTCTGGGCTGAGGGAGCTCTAACCGTCAAAAGGCCTCTCTCAAATGTGCCCTGCAGCTCTCCCAATCTCGTGCCATGTCCCTGATCTGCATAGCCAGTGGTCTTTCCGCCTTCCTGGTCCAGAGTGGCAGCGTCTGTTTCCAATCATCTCTCAGTATGCCCTGCTCTTGCATGAACCACTCAAACGCGGGGATGAAGTCCGACGCATTTCCAATCTCCAGGCGGATCGGCCTGCCATCAGGTCCCACAGGCGAGGGTCGCAACTCCTCCATCCTCATCTCCACCTCCTGCCTCGTCGTCGCCTCCCTACGAATCCTGGCAATGGGCTCYTCGAACCTACCTGCTCCCCTCAATCTCTCAATCGCTTGAGCGACGGTCCARCCCATACGCCTCGCATGCTCCCAGAAACTGTCCAGGAATAGCTCGATGTCCCCATCATTGTAGACTGGAGTACTCTCTCGATGGCGAGACCCATGCCGCTCATATCCTCCTGATGCGCCCAACGGCCTCTGAGGCGCCCGTGTCCCCTTCCCTCCTCTTGGCATGGTTGTCTTCGTAAAGTCAGACCTGCACAACAGGCGAAGGAGACAACAGGCACACATTAGGGTAAGCAAGCAGGTGATAATCAGAGCAAGCTCAGACCAGACCATCCTCATGCAGCATGCATCCTTCCTAACCTACACACCCTGTTACTTCTATTCTAAAGGCGGTCAGGTCATCTCTCTTACCTCTTCTCTCGCCATAAATTTCTTCAGTCGCGTTACAGATACCCAATCCTTCCACTCAGTCCCATTTAACTCCTCGATCTGGTACGCTCCGAAGTCTCCGTCCCGTGCGATTCGGTAGGGACCTAACCACCTCTTATCGAGCTTCCTGACCACTTCTTCTCCAGCGATGTATCGTAGAGAAGCACGACATCCCCAACTGCCAAGGGTACTTTCCTCACTCGCGTGGACTGATCCCATCGGACCTTATCATCCATACGGCTTCTCGCCACCTGATCAGATGCCTCCTGGATCCTTTCTTCTATCGCCCCGACCTGCCGCGCCCGAATATCGAGCAACTCTTCAAATGACAGGTTGACTTCCAGATCCCGGCGCCCCCACGTCTTAAGAAAGCTTTCGATAGGGAAGGTGGCATGCCTTCCGTACCACAGCGTCGCAGGTTCGTACTTGGTGGATCTCTTTACTGTAATATTCTCGACAAAGAAAGCCGCCCTTAGGTATCTTGGTCATTGATTAGGCCTACCTTCGGTCCATTTGGCCAGGAGGTTCGTAATGGTACTATGTCCTCTTTCTACGGGAACATTGGCCTGGGGTTGCGTGGCCGTGGTGTATTTGGCTGCCACACCATATCTTGCTAGCAGTTCTTGCGCCTCTTGACAGGTAAACTTTGATCCCCTGTCCATTACGAATTCCCTGACGAAAGGATAACGCAGGTAGTACTCCTCGATGCAGCTCACCAGGACTGACCCGGTCTTTGTGCGAATAGCTCGCCCGTCTACGAACCTCGACAGGTTATCGCGCGCATCGAAGATATAGTTATAGCCCTGATCCCCAAGTGGCATAAAAAGCAGATCGAGATGCACTACGGCCCCTACCTCTCGCTCTAAACTTGGATGCAGCAGCTCTCCCTGCCTTAAACGGGATCTCTCCTGGCAGGGTACGCAAGATCGACAGAATTTTCCGACCATGTCCATCATTCCATCCCAGTAGTACAACTCACTTATCTTGGCATACGTGGCTTGTACCCCTCGATGCCCTCCTGCAATGCTATCGTGTAGTGCTGCTACGACGTCGATCTGACGATTCCTACCGCAGACGACCCTCCTGGGATTCCCCACTTCCCTTCTCACGAAAAGGTGACCGTCTCGCACTAAGTAGCGTCGCAGCATCCTTTGAACCCTATCGCTCGCATCTCTTAGCCGTATTTCACATGACAGAAGAAGCCCCAGCTCTAGGTAGATCCCGTCGTACTCCTCTGCACGAAAAGCCTCCTTAATTTTCCCTTCTTCGAACTCGTCGTCTTGACTCTCGGGTATTTCGTCCACATTCCCTGTCGGGTTCAACGAGCCTTACTGGTCTAGGCTTTCCTGCAATAACGTATTGACGAGGAGATACATTCCTCCCATCAGGTCCTCATGCCGTTCTACCTGGC